GGTCACGACTTCTCACTAGAACTCCAGGAAGCTCCATCCTGTAGCAAGTCACTAGCGAGCATCAGATTAATTTTCTAAAGTTTGGTTTGTAAGGGTTAGTATTCTTTTGTCTCTAAATTGAGCCACTGAAGGTTAATTGTACATTAAGAGTATATCTAAGCAGCAGTTCTTTTGAATACGCTACTGGTATTCGAATGTTTAACTGGATTTAATCTATTTGCATATAAAAAGCAAACACTTGCCGTAAGTGAATTGTTGGTGTCAAGTGATACACCGTTGAGTGACAGCGTAGTTTTGTTATCAAACTTCATATCGTGTTTGCAGTTGATACCTTACCAGTTTAAATCGCTACAGTTCACCTCGATAAACCTAAAGGGTTATGTAAAGAAAATAAATTTAAAAAATTGTCAATAAAATCACAACTGTTGGTTTGCAGGGACTTCATTTGATTGGTTCTAGGAATTCATCAAGAGATGACTTCAGTTAGGGAACCATTGAAAAACTACTCAGGGAGTACTGGACAACTGTTTCTCCCTAGTTCCGGACTCTTCAGAAGGTTTCGAACCCAGGACCTTCCGATCACAAGGTGAGCTAGCTCGTAGACCATTAAGCCACTGGGACCCGATCCAATGGCCAACCCATGAATTCCAACTTTTCACAATTCACGATATATTGTGACTACTAGCCTATGTCATTGGTGGCGAGTATTTGTTCTCACACCTGACCTGCTTTATTCCACTTGTCACAGGAAACTTCGTACATAATAATAATAATAATAATGATGATAATAATAATAATAATCAATAATAATAATAAAACAACATAGATTAAAAGTAAAAAATACAGGTGGAGAACGGATAAAGAACATCTGGAAAAAAAAAGTCACACTTAACAAGTTCGAACAGCATTCATCAACTATCATCGGGAAGGGAAGAAAGAAAGAAACTGTCGCACGTTCGCCATTGATGAGACTGAGATTCTTGGCCATATCCGATAACGTTTCGAGCCACGACGCCATGTCATGGGCTGATCACCTCTCCGCCTTTTCCATCCCGTCCGAGGGCTAGCGAACACAGACCTGTACGAAAGCATCACTGAATCACCAACATCCTGACTATATCACTGATTTGTTTGATTACTACTTCACATGCAAGCTCATTAGCAGTCAGACAGTCATTTAATAAGTCCGTGTTATCATCATCATCTGACGCGTGGAGATACCCATAAGTATATTCATTAAACTTTAACACAATGAATACTAAAAATCTAATTCAAAAAATATCCAATGATAAATTTAACAGTATAGATTCAGCATGTCCTTATAGAAAACAATGAGGTGCAATAAATTGCATAGAATGCACATCATTCGACTAGCCATTTTAATTATGCTCTAATGCTAATGTAAAAATAGAAGAGTAGAAAAACCAACTATCCACTAAAAACAATAACTTATCAACAGTTAAATTCTAAAATACTTATTGATTTATACATACAAGTGAGTTTCAGTCAAATTTTTTTTGGCTAGTAACAGTTTCACTACTTATTTGTATTGTGGTCTAATTGCCAGAAAAGATCGATAGCATACTGAGATGAATTATCGCATAACTGTTTGTCGTGCAGAGACAGGTTGATGACTAAGCCTTTTTTTTCCAATAAAATCTTCAATTGTTAGATCACATATCAATATCAGTTGGAGAACCAGTGGAAACTGCGGAGTAATGAACAGCTGTTTCATGTTTTTTTGGAACTCTTCATTGGTATGTACCCATGAACTGGTTGAGGATAGAAGCCAAGATCCTCATAGCCCATTCAACCAATGGAACAGAATCCAATAATGCATGAATTCTAACTTCTCATGTTTCGCAAGTTTCAGCACCACCAATACTTAATTTCATTGGTTACTACTTGTCCTCTCACTAGACCAGATCGATCCCACTGGATGCGCGCCATTGAAGAGTCGCATACTGAGTTGAAACAGTTGTCCAGTATGGGCTGTCGGATTCTTTCCTAGCAGTGGAATGGTTTGCTATTTTGTTTTCTTTACGTTCCTAGCGGAACATATGGCTTCAAGCTAGAGGCTTGAAGTTTCGGTAGTAGTGGTGTTTATTCTTACTGTATGGGGTAGCTAGGCTCATACCCAGTCTTCTCTCTTTACCATTCTTATTACTGGCTTAGCGATGTAAAGCAGTGCATCGATCACGGACCGAACTGCGTACCCCCCCCATGCATGGTTGGCGAGCGTTCTACCGCTATGCCATCGACACATTGTTCGCTTTACCGAAATGTAATATATGTCAACAAGCTGAAGTTGTTTCACTCTACCTAAATATGATGTCATGAGAAGTATAATTCATTCATCACATAGGTAATATCCATTTCAAAAGTAAAACCGGACATAATCTTATTTAACAATAAAGTGTAAACCAATTCAAAAGTCAGACATTCTTCTTAAGAGTGACAAGATTGTTCAATTCTTTTGAATTATAGGAAACAACTACCCTAGAGTGAGATAGAAAAATTATGGACGCTTCATATTATTTCTCCTTGAATGACGCGTCACTTTTGCAGACAGTCAGGAAAATTTGTGAGTGACAGTTGTGTTAAATTTCAAGCGGATGTCAATTACTTAATTTTCCTACCCAAAGATGTATTACCCGCCAACTATATTGGATAAACTGATAAAAAGGAACTAGTTTACCTACGGAGACACACTTGGAGGACTTTCATAAATTAATTGTTTTAACATAGTAGTCAAAACACGAAAGAAACTAGAAACACACACACACGCACACAAGGTGCCGCACAAGCAAATAAACACTACAAATCAATCAGACCTTACACTGATGCCACGTGAAAAAAGATTCCTTGGAATTATGCCGCCTATGAAACATGAAACAAATAATGAAAGTCTCATGAAACTAGTAAGTGTAGTTGACCTTAGAACAGTTGTTTTCAGCTGTGAATGCAGAATTTTAGACAGCACATCTTCGGTTCCCTGTAGTTAAAAACAGTGAACCCAGCAGTTTCTCACGGTCCGAATTCTTTCTAAAAATAAATAACAAATATATATGTATAATATTACCGAAGACAGAACTTCTAGTGAACTTAGGCATGATGATGAAAATGCCTAACCAACACCAAGAAGTACCAATCATCATCAAGTGGAGAAATCTACAGGAAGTCACCTCATTCATTATTTTAATCTATGCAGCATCGTTTCATCTACAGGCAGCACAGATAAAGGTTTCAAGGCCAGGAAAGCAAGAACTAGACAGAAAACCTTCATTAAGCTGAAGTTAGTATGGAAGTCTACTACTATTAGCATTATATGATAAAGATTCAAATTTTCCAACACTTTTGTCAAACCAGTGCTTCTATACAGACAGTTCAGAGATGGTGCGAATGTCACCAAAAGCATTTCCAACAGGCTAATGAATACTTTCCACAACAGCTGCCTCTTCACTTGATGATACTGAAGATCAGATGACCGGTGAGAAAGGATCAGTAACAAGAAACTCAGAAGTGGAAATGACATCTTACTCGACATCTATTTGCAATTCTATGCAGTTGGTAATAAGCCACACCTATTGTGTGAAGACTAGTGATACTGTAACGGTAGACGATAAGAGACTTTGTAAAGAAATGTTTATTTGGAATTTCATATCTCTCTATATATAGCGAAATTATGAACACCTTATCTCCATTTCTATTCAACTTCACCATAGACGTACTAATGGACTTAACCCTAACTCACTTCAGAGACTCAGGGGTTGACTTGCTACCATCAGGAAATAATCTCGTTGACTCAGAATATGCAGACGATATAGTCCTTCTAGGCGAGGACGCTGACAAAATGCAGAGTCTTCTGGACACCTTGAGCAGCAATCTTCGTATGTTTGGCATGCGATTCGCCCCTGTAAAATCTAAGATGATGCTGCAGGATTGGACTTCACCGACCCCTAGATTAGAAATAGGAAGTGATGTGGTAGAGAACATTGACCGCTTCACTTACTTGGGAAGTACCATCAGCCAGTGCCAACGGGTTGATCTCTGACGAAATCTCAGTACGAATAAAGAGCGCTAGTTTCGCATATGCCAGTTTACGCCGTCTCTGGCGTAGACGTGATATCCGACTATCGACCATAGGGGTGTGTACTGCTCAGCAGTCCACTCCGTCCTCCTTTATGGCTGTGAGATCTGGCCATTGAGAGCGGAAGACATGAAAAGACTAGCTGTCTTTGATCATAGGTGTCTGTGTTCTATCTCTCGCGTGAAGTGGTATAATAAGGTGAGCAATATTGAGGTTAGGCGTCGAGTGCTAGGTAAGGTGGGAAAATCAGTCGACGAGACTGTGAAGTTACACAAACTGAGATGGTTAGGACATATGTTACGCATGCATGCCTAGTCATCGCCTTCCTCGACAATGGGCAATGTTAGCTGATATACGGTCAGGCTGGAAAAGAGCTAGCGGCGGTCAAACCAAAACATGGCACCAGTCAATGAAATCCACAACAGTTAGCTTAAGTCACGTAGCAAGGTGTAGACTTCCTGACTGGTTGGGGTCCTCGGGACGGTAAAAACCAATGGTTGGAATCAATTGGTGACATGGCTCAAAATCGTTCTCAATGGCTGGTCCAGATGCATCCACTCCTTGTGACTTATGATTTCCAATGAAACTGTTTTGTTCTTCTTTATTACTATTCCTTTGTCTTACACCTCTGTTTACTGTCTATATTATGCATTTTTCCTACTTTCTTCTCTTGCTTTGTGTGCTACATGAAGGGAGTGTGGCGACTTGAACTGCCGCATATATGTGCAAAGTTCTATGTCGGAAACTGACTGCCGACTATTTCCAAATCGTCATTTGCACAGATCTTCCGTGTTGTGCTACTTCTGCACTTCTTACTGTATGTTTCTTTGTCTTCTTTTTCGTGTCTCTCATGATTTCTTTGACATGAAATCTATCTCTCCGCTATTAAATACTTTTATGCTAATAAACGTCTCTTATATAGTAGTAATAAATCTCGTCAGTAGCATACACCGCACTATTATCTGACTACCAAAATCTTGACAGCAGGAGCGGAACTCGAACCCATGACCCACTGGTTGGAAGTCAATATAGCCTAAACTAATGTACAACACAGCTTCACAGACGGGAACTCTAAGAAGCCGCAGACCAATCAAGAGCTTATCACATAACAGAAATCCCGAAGGAAATGCGGATGGGTTGTACACACGCTGAGGAGACACACCATTGAGTGACATCATCGGAGTTTGAGTGTCCAAGGGTGGCATGAAAGAGACTGTGTGACGATGACGAAGGAATCAAAGCGCCTGGTAAGGGCAATCACTGAGTCAGCTAATAACAAAAAGGTCTCTGGGAGGAAACAAGATGAAACAGAGAATAAAAGCTCTCTTTTTTTTGAAACAAATTTTTCTGAATATATAATTGTAATAATCAATGTCCTAGAATACATATATATATATATATATATATATATATATATATATATATATAAACGAATCACCGTTATTATTATTATTATTATCATCATTATCAGCTGATTCGGTCAATGAAACAAAAAGAAAGCAAAAGTAAGTGAATGAAAAAGAAAAGGAACACACAAGAAAAGAGGAGAAATCTTCTGCTCTTCATCAAAACAAAAAATAATAATAATAAATAGTATATTAGAGAATCATCACAATTATTTATTATATTATCATCTCACCATCAATACTATATCTTTGTAAACTCATAAGAATATATGATACTGGATAAGTGTACTGCATATAATAATAATAATAGTAATAATATATAAATATATACTTGTATATAAGTACATAACCAGTCAGTCATATCTGAATGACAATGGAAAGCCTAATTAACATCGAGCTCAACAACACGTACGTACACAGACAGGCCTAAGAGAGTTGAGATTAGAACAATATGCCTTTTTCCATCATTTAAAATAAAGAGAAAATAACTTTAGGAGAAAAACAAAAGGAGTACAGTGAGTAAATTGATGATTAGATCAGATCACATAAGATATAATATATATATATTCTCCGCATGTGAGCACCCCACCTCCCATCCAGGTGGGAGGAAATAAAATGCGCTTTATACACGTACATACATACATACATACATACACACACACAACTACACATATAAAACATGATTTCCGGTGAAAATAAATATTATAATATAATCAAACGAAATAATACTAATCATAATTACAAGTGATAAAGACAGATAAACGAAGTAAAATATGAGAAAGTCAATAATGAGAAATAGACAAGAGAAAAGATAATAATAATAATAATTTGTACAATCATCAAATGAAATTAACATAAAAAATAACCAAGTAAAATGCTTTTTTCTTTTAATAACCCTGAGTTGGATGTAGAGAATATACACAAGCACGCAAACAACACACGTCAACGTAATGCCCATAACAACTACCTCTACAGTGTGGTACACAACTTCCAAATATAACTGACACTGTTATGAGGGGGACAGTGCATATGTGTTATACTAAGTCAAATTCACAAACACATAGGGAATTATAATTGTGTGATGAATAGTCGTCTGACAGTATACAGTCAGCTATCGGTCTCAACAACAACAGCAAAAATGCATACGTAGTCTGTCTCTTATGTCTGTGTACACATATATTGATATAAATCACAGTGGACGAGATTAAAGAGCAGAAGAGGCAGGAGAGGGAGAGAGATTATCCAACGCAAAATGCACAATAAAGGTAGTATTATAACAATAGACACCCCTAACGGCCACCACGACGACCCCGACAACAACAACAACAACAACAACAACAAATGATACAAATATAAATAAATCTGATTGCAGGTAGATAGATTGAGTAGAATTTGAATGCATCACAATCACAATTTGTAGGCGTGTGAATCGCACAACCAACCGTATACAAAAAAAAAAGAGGGAGAAAATAATTGATAATAGTAGTGCAAAATATGTAAGCTTTCGTTGTGTGTTATTTCTTCAATGAGTATTCTGGTGCAATTTATCTTTAAGTAAGCGTCCACTACAGCACTTGGACACAACTGAATGAATACCGTTAATATTCGACGAGGTGACTGATGGTCTTGTTGATAGTGGTGGTGTTTGTTGTGGAGTTGTTGGTGTCAACTCTGTGTGATGGTGGTGGTGGTGGTGGTGATTATGATGATGATGATGATTAACAGCAGCAGCATTACAGATAGACATAGGAATACCCGCACTCGCGGTGGTGGCATTCGAGGCAATTGTAGACGAATTCGTCGCTGCATGCTTATAATTTGTATCTGAAGAAGTAACAAAGTAATCTTCAAAAAATTCAAAAAGAAATGCAAATGTCGGTCGTTTCTCTGGACAACTATCCCATATTTGTAATAACATATCATAAATTGGTTGTGGACAATTAGCTGGACGTGGCATACGATAACCTGTACTAACTTGATGCAGTGTTTCAGTATTATTCATTGATGGATACGGGACTTGACCAAGTGTTATTAATTCATAGATAACAATACCAAATGACCAAACATCTGATTTAATTGTAAATCGACCCATTAATGCAGCTTCTGGGGCTGTCCATTTAATAGGGAATTTTGTACTCTTCTGTGCCATATACGTGGAATAGTGATCTTCAACCATACGCGCTAAACCAAAATCAGCTATCTTTACACAATTATTTTCTCCGACTAGAATATTACGTGCAGCTAAATCACGATGGATATAATGCTCTTTCTCTAGATATGCCATTCCATTGGCGATCTGTTATAACATGATAATGGAAACAACAACAAAAAAAGAAAAATGAAAGAAAAGGAAATACAACACAGTTAAATAATAACAATAATAATTTGCCTTATTTCAAAACAGTACTAATGTTACAGTGTGGAATTTCCAGCATTTGGTACAATATTGCATCTAATTTTATCGAATAACATTAAAAATAATTATAAAGATAATATTACAGGATTGTTGATGGCAGTTCTTATTCAGATTTTGTAGTGACAGTGAAGTCATATATATATATATATATATATATATATATACAAAAATAATTTGTAAATAATAAGGTCAGTGGCTAAGATTGTCAGTTAATTGAGATAGTGTCACCATAGATTACAAATAGGAGATAATAAAAGAGCCGATCACTTCGCCAACACAGTAATTCATAGGTTTTGCGCTTAACACTGTCTCTATCGCATAGACCACGGGCAGGCTAAATAAGGTATCACTGAGTTCCTATACTTGGTAGTACGAGCATATAATCTTTTGTACTGACTTCTGGTTCTACCAGATGAGATACAAGGGGAGATTTGAGAATAGACAGGTGCTGAGGGTTAGACAATATGGATTTGGACCATTTCTTGCATGAGTTCAGATGTCTGTCAAGTAATGCAGTAAAGAGCTGACCAACTTTCACACCACTTGCCCTACTGACAACGTTTAATACCATTCTCAAAACGACATAGACCTTTTTGAGTAGTATAGGAAAGACTAAGGGGGAGCAGTAAAGTACAATGGATCAGATAAAAGAGTTAATAAATTCTCGACAACACAATAAGAAGACGTAGTTTATCTGAAAGGTGTTAGTTATTTGTGCAACACATTTCGGACATTCTGATCACATGAGTACTTGTCATACACAGTTATAGAGAAAACAAGAAGGCATGAATCCTTACAATACAGGTTAGATTGTGTACAGGCCAAAGTCAAAAATAATGGGTACGGAGATGACGCGAAAGTGTGGGTAAGAAAGGTAGAACAAAAACAAAAGTGTTTGTTCAAACGCATTCACCGTATATGTACTGCCGACACAATTGAAGAAGAAACACAACACCTCACTGAAATATTGTTAGATAACAATTACCCGTTGAGATTCATTAAGCGTTACGGAAGTGTCAATCAAAGAGCTCTACCTATCCGATTACCTCCCGAAAAGGATGTTTATATATCCTTGCTGTTCATGGGTGATCAACAAAGTTTGGTCGCTAGACAAGCACTCAAGGTGGCTAGCTAAAATTATGTTCATAGAGAAAACAAGATCTATTCTGTCCTGTAAACCTTAAGCTGAATCCGAACGATAGCGTCACATCGCACTGTGTTTATCAACTTACATGTAGGCGTGAACACACGTACATAGGGAGGACCCATCGGTCCCTGCAGGTTACGGTTACAGAGATTATCCCAAAGTGGATGCAACAACAAATAAAATCGCTGGATACAACTAATCCTGGAAATAGATACCCAACATCATTTATTTTTTTTCCTTCACGTTCCCCAGTGGAACATAGGGCTTCAAGCTAATGGCTTGAAGTTTCTGTAGCAGTGTTTATTTTACAGAATGGGGTTGCTAGCCTCATGCCCAACCTTTCCTCTTCACCAGCATTATTTCTGGCTTAGTGAGGTAAAGGAGTGCATCGGCCGGGGATCGAACCCCGGACCATGTACATGGTCGGCGAGCGTCCTAACCGCTATACCACCGACGCATCATCTATAGTGAAGCATAACACAAGGTTGCTTTCAATAATGCTTTTAAACCCATACAAGGTTGGGTTACATACTTAAGTCCTTCTCGTTGTTGTAATCACTATTAGAGTATTTAGACTTCTACGAAGAAAACGGGATTCTTTCTACATTGAGCTAAAAGGTTGTCTATTAGTTCCTGATAAAAAACTGAGAAACGCAAATATAAATGTTAGTGTGATGTATATTCACATGAATCTTTACAGGAGTTGTTTAAACTAGACTAGGATAAATTATTATTATTATTATTTCCTTAAAATCCTCAGTTAAAATCTGTTTATTGTAATTCTTTTGAGAGAAATGTTAATTTAACTACAAGTTTAAATTCAATGCGAAAATCAAACAAATTACCTGAGCCATCATATCAACTAGAGAATTGAGTTGTAAATTTCTTCCAGCACCTTCACGAAGATACTGTAATAGACTACCGTTGCACATTAATTCAGTAACAATGTATATAGGATCTTCTGTGCACACAGCGTATAATCGGACTAGTTTAGGATGTTGAGCTGCACGCATAATTCGAGCTTCTTTTAAGAATTCATCTTTAGTCATTGTACCTTGTTTCAATGTCTTGACAGCCACTTCTGTAGTTCCATTCCAAGTACCTATTTCATAAAACAGAGGAATAGTAATAAACATTATATATATATATATGTATATATATATATATATATATATGTATAATTGGTTGCCATCACCTTTTTAGTGGCACTGGTATAAATTACGGAGATTAAGCGCTACGAGGAAGTAACTGACGGAAGTAAATTAGTAGAAGTGGTTTTGGACTTTCGTTGACTTGAATGTCAGGCATGCTAAGCTACTATGAACACCAATATTACATATGGTTGGGGGAAATCGACAGAAACTTTTGCCCGATCTAGGTTTCGTGCTAGTTAGCACTCACCAGTCAGTCAGCAAGGTGTATCTGCAACCATGAAGGAACTTATGACCCTTCTGAGATTCGAACCCGCGTCACCCAGTGAGTATTGCGGTCAGAGACGTTACCACTGAGCTATTCGGGCTCGCGAGTGACCTCCTGTAGGACTGTATTGGATACTTTGATTGAACACTAGTTAGTGACTAGTGTAGTGATAACATCTCTGATGTGGATTCGAATCTCACAACGGACATGAGTTCCTTCATGGCTGCAGATACGCCTTGCTGACTGGTGTGTACCAACTAGTAAGAAACCTAGGTCAGGCAAAACTTCCTGCTGATTGCCTCTCCAACCATCTAATATAGATAATACAAAGTGCACTGTGATGGCAAGCCACCTAGTGGTATGGTGGCCACACTGCAAACTTGACTGATTCATAGAATTCAGTCTGGACCAAACAAAGGACTAGACACATTACACTATTCACTAAGTAGTTTGCAATCAACATATTATGTGTATTCATAATGATAATAATAATAATCTTATTCTGAACAGTGTTTATATAATGTACGTAATTTTCACCAGAGTTTATTATTGCACGATATTTTCTCTCCGTCCAGGAGGTTCAAACAGGGTATTAAATGACAGTAGATAGTAAGACACAGTGTTGTTTGACCTGAAAGGTAAATATCAATCCACTATGATATCTCTTCCTTGTTTCCTTCGAGAAATGTACGACATTTAGTTGAATGCGAGGAGTATATTTTGTGAACCAAGGACAGAACTCAAGAACAGTTATCTCATAAAGTGGGATACGCTGCCACCCAAGGATTATGCTTTCTCTCAAATTCAGAAGAAACTTGAGAATTTGCAGTTTGTATACATTTTAAATACTCGGAAGAGTAAAATGATACCATTAGAGATCATATTTTATAAGATTAAAACAAACTGAACAAGAGAAATTATATGCGATATATATTTATGGGTGCGGGGGGAGCGGGTCATCCGGTAGCCCAAGTTTTAAACAGACAGTATAAGCTTACCAAGGTAGAGAGTGGACCAATGGATAAAGTCTTTGACACTTGATATGAGCCGTACAGGGTAAAGTAGGAGTACTGGTTCCTATCTACGAAGCAAGTAGAATCGATTCAAGAAAAATAGACTCATCCATAACTTTTCTTTATTCAGATTCTTTCATTTTTGGTGCTATACTTATGTACAAACTTTGCACACAGTGTATTCATGATATTTAAGACACTGGTGGAACTATGCCATAGCAACAGGCGCGAATAATTTTTAGGAAAATCACAGGGGAAGTAGCACGGCCAGCTGACGTCACAATTGACATAGATGTTCATACCACTGACTACCACAAGGAAAGTCAACAAATTTCAGTGGAAAAGAGAAGAAGAGAAGAGAAGAGAAATTTCAGTGGCATTAACTCTCAACTTTTATATGGAACTACGGAACTATGATCTTAGAAATTGCATCCATATCTTAATCTTTAGTGATGACAACCTATTTGGAATAAGATATTCCAGATTAACCTAATGATGTCCAATAAAGTTAGTAGACAGTAGACGTTGCGTTGACCACTTAATCTATTCAGGGAGTTGCATCAACCAACGCTAGCGGGTTGGTCGATGAATAAATCTCACCAACAGGTTCAGAAAGTTAGTTTGGCATATGCCACCTTATATCATCTCTGGCATAGACATGATATTCGGCTGTCGACCAAAGGCCGTGTGCACAGCTCAGCAGTTCACCCTCTCCTCCTTTATGGGTGTGAGACATGACCATTAAAAGTGCAAGATACGAAAAGGGTACCTAGCTGTTTTAGATCATAGGTAGATGCCTGTGTCTTGTCTCCTGTGTTAAGTCATATTATAAAGTGAGCAATATTGAGGTTAGGCTTCCGTCAACTGCCAGGTAGGTGGGGGGGGGCTGGGGGAATCAACAGACCAGGTCGTGAAGCAACTGAATCGATTCAGATAGGTCAAACATGTGTCACGCATGCCTGGCCATCGACTTCCTCGACGACGGGAGATTTTACCTGACTGACAAAAGAAGTGATCAGGTTGGAAAAGAGCTAGTGGTGATGGACAAAGCAAAACATCGTTCCATCAGTCAATGAAATCCACAACACTCAGTTTGAGTCAGCCAACTAGCCACGTGTAGGGAAGTGTAGACTTCCTGACTGTCTGGTTGGTTGGTTGTCTGTCAGGATGGTACGAACCAATAGCGACTGGCGACAATTGGTGATATGGCTAGCTCAAAATCGTCAATCTCAGTGGCTGACGAATATGCATTCGCTCTTTGTGATTTGTCATAGCCAATGAAACGCTATTGTTCTTCCACATCACTCTTCTTTTTGCCTCACTCACACTTCTGTTTATAATCTGTGTGTGTGTGTGTGTTTGAATCTGTCTTTACTGTCTTTTGTTGCTTTGTGTGCTACATGGAGGGAGTGTGGCAACTTGAACTCCTGCATATGTGTGCAAAGTTCGCTGTTGAAACCAGTTAGTCAGTCAGTACACAGTAGACTTTATTGGACCGCATTCCTTCCAGCAGTAAACTTAAATGCTGAGTAACAATAAAGCATAACTGGCAAGTTTTACGTGATCCCTCTATATATGCTGAATGAGGGTACATTCTGCACGTGGTGTTAACCTAAGAACTCCAATGACAAAACACCTTAAGAATATCACTTACAACATTTAATGATTCAGTTTGATTGAAGTTAAACAGACAGAATTTAGTTAGACTGACTAGTCTTCATAGCACAGAAGAAGAAGAAGTTACCACTGAATCAATATTACTTACCTTTCCAAACTTCACCGAATTGTCCAGCTCCAAGTTTTTCGATTAAAACTATAGACGATTTAGGTATCTCCCATTGGTCTTTTGTTTTAACCGATAAGTCAGATGTTATTGGTGGAGGACGTAGACATGCTCTTGTCAGTTTACAGCATAATCCATGTGAATCAACTGAATAGAATTGAACTAATTCTTGAAGACTAGAAAAACTACACTTAGTTGTGATATAATAATATCGATAATCTGGATGTTTTATACGATAGTGTTTCACTGTATTTGTAACACCGGATACTCCGCGTTCCTCGTCTCTTACTGATAAGGTTAAGGAACCTGTGAATGAAAATATTAAGGCATATGTAAGTTTTTCAATTAAAAAAAAAACACCGGAAAATAATATAACTCAAAAACAAAACCAAGGAGTGTGATAAAATTAAATAATCAATTCATGACATTAAAAAACACCAAAAAGTTAATTTTTTTAAAATTTTATTTAATTTTAATTTTATGGTAGCTTGACTCCACACAGTATTTTTGATACAAGTATGAAATTTTCAGCATGTGATACCGGTAGCCCAAATTTAGCAGGCCGACCATGGATATCGGGCGTGCGTCGACCGGGGATCGAACCCCGGAACATGTGAATGGTCGGCGAGCGTATTAACCACTGTGCCACCGACGGATTGAGAATACGGACAAGTGCTAATAACTAGACTAACACACTGGGTGATGACGTTGCTTCATAATGACATAAATTACATCGTAGAAAAGACTGAAGTTTTGACTCAGAAAAAGCCTTGCAAACTGAATTCAATTCTATTGATCTAGGTGCTCGACAACTAACCAGTAGGTTGACGGGTTCGAACCCTGTCACCCACCTACCGGGGTCTGTATAGCTAGACAGTATAACTAGTTCTCACACAATAGGTGTGGCTGATTGCCAACTATGTGGCTTCGCTAAGTGGCCGAACATATATATATATATATATATGCTTCTCTAGTTTTCCTGCTGTTGCAACTATCATTATGGCAACAAAGGGGGATTAACCACACAGTGAGAGAGAGAGAGTAATGATGCATGATAAGAAAACCAAAACATTATGACTGGTTATATTGTGAAAAAGTAATTCAATGTAAAAAGGGTATTGACTGAAACTGAACAAGAATCTGAGTCGCTGCAGAATTTAAAACCTAGATGGCGGTATCTGTGTAGTTGTCATGTTGGAAAAGAGTTAGGGGCGGTGCAACCAAAACACGTCGTTACTCTATGAAATCTTTGACAGTTGGTTTCAACCAGTCATATAGGTAGGTGTAGACTGCCGGATTAGGATCCCCGCGATGCTATTGTGGTCACATGAATCAAAACTGTTCTCAATGGTGCAGATGTATTCACTCTCTGCCATATCTGTCAAATCTATATTGTTTTCTCATATTACTCTTCCTTCCCGCACAAATTTCTGCACATTGTTTTGAATCTCTTTTCTCTATATTTTCTCTAACCTTGTGTACTACATATGGCATGACAACTCGAAGTGCTGAACTTCTATGAAAACTTCTAAGTTGCAAGTCAGCCAGTCAGTCATGTAGTTATAAACAACGTCAGTGGTTGAGTATGACAGGTCAGCTTGATCAATGAGACAATGTGATGGGTAATTTGGAGGCTGTTGGTTAGATTTTCACTCAAAATTCACACTACTACCAAATATTAGGCATACTAAAACTACGAGTAGTTCAATGAACAATATAACTCAGTTACATTTAGTAAATATGTCTTCACTTTCTAATCCTTTGTGGTTTTGTTAATACATCCCCCTTACGTGCAAAACGGTATAGTACACCTTCGAATTTTCAAATCAAGTTGAAAATTACTGTCGTTTGTAAAAACTCTTTCGTTATTATATGGGATGGGGAAAACTTGTAGCTATGTATAAAAATACAATTGTACAGTTGTTTTCAAGGTGTTATCCTGATAGGTATTTTCCACGATTTAAAAGTACGCGGTCAAAATAGGTATGAAATATAAGATACAGCACGATAACGAGTCATGCTTATTGTAAATAATCTTCGCCTGCATTTCAAATGTATGCTGATTGACTGACTGGTTTCAACAGCGAACTTTGCACACATATGCAGGAGTTCAAGTTGCCACACTCTCTCCATGTAGCACACAAAGCGACAAAAGACAGTAAAGACAGATTCAAAAAGATCATACACACACACAGAGAGATTATAAACAGAAGTGTGAGTGAGGCAAAAAGAAGAGTGATGTGGAAGAACAATAGCGTTTTATTGGATATGACAAATCACAAAGAGCGAATGCATATTCGTCAGCCACTGAGAACGACGATTTTGAGCTAGCCATATCACCAATTGTCACCAGTCGCCATTGGTTCGTACCATCCTGACAGACAACCAACCAACCAGACAGTCAGGAAGTCTACACTTCCCTACACGTGGCTAGTTGGCTGACTCAAACTGAGTGTTGTGGATTTCATTGACTGATGGAACGATGTTTTGCTTTGTCCATCACCACTAGCTCTTTTCCAACCTGATCACTTCTTTTGTCAGACAGGTAAAATCGCCCGTCGTCGAGGAAGTCGATGGCCAGGTATGCGTGACACATGTTTGAACCATCTGAATCGATGGAGTTGCTTCACGACCTGGTCTGTTGATTCCCCCACCCCCCCCCCCCACCTACCTGGCAGTTGACGGAAGCCTGACCTCAATATTGCTCACTTTATAATATGACTTAACACAGGAGACAAGACACAGGCATCTACCTATGATCGAAAGCAGCTAGGTACCTTTTTCGTATCTTGCACTTTTAATAGTCATGTCTCACAGCCATAAAGGAGTACAAAGCAAGCCGATTGTGATTTTTAATGACAGTACAAATCGACTGTTGACTGTAATTATTGAATTCCCTAATAGCAGTGACCTTAGAGAAAGAGAAATTGAAAGTCATCAATATTGTAGAACTGAAAGAACAAAAATTTCCTCTTCACAATGGAGAATGTTTTGTTTTTCCAAAATATGTTACATATCCTAGAAAAGTGTTATTTAATGTCAAATTGTTATTACTAGCCAACTAGCTTAAAGTTTTTTCCAACAGAATCCAGGCTACCAAACAATGACTTTTAAAGTATTTCAAAGTAGGTTCTTATGCTTAGCTCACAAAAGAGTTTAGGTAGGAATGGGATGAAATCCTTTGGACAATTTTTCTAAAGATGTCCATAAGATATATTTCACCAAGTCAATGTTATCAATTGTTACATTTGCATGTATATTTAAGTTGAAATATTAGGAGACTATACACATTCACTCCAGTTGACATCTTAGTCTACGCATACGGAGAATAAAGTTGATGGGGTATATTCTGTCTTTTATTCACTTATTCAATTACATAACAAATTTGTCCTTCTCGTAGTAGTATTCTTTTACTCACTGAATATGCACACTGGATCTCATAGGAATTATTATTATAAAAAACGGTTACATTGAAGAAAATTTTCTTTTCGACGAAGTCATCAGCTAGGTGGCTGTACACTTGTGTATTTATATTAAGCGTGTGAGAAAGCTCCAGAATTATTTCCGGTCAAAGGTTAAATTAAATTAAATTAAATTACAAAGTGTAATAAAAGGGGAGGATCGGGTAGAAAAGCCATAATCAGGTCATAATTACTGAAAGATTTGACTGTTTGTACAAATTAAGAACGTAGTGATTACAAAATTAGGTAGGAAGTTCCGACATGTATAAAAAGAGAAAACGGTTGCCCCTACACCGTGGTCATCATGAAAAGTCAATCACACCAATAATGATTTTGTCCTGTTACCTTTCTTATCCAACCTTCCTGCTTATTTCTGTTATTTTTACGTTTTTAATTCCTATCTGCATTACTACATTTGGTTGCTGTTCTTTTTTCTTTTTATATATGTCCGAACTTTCTACTTATTGTATTATAACTACGTTCTTAATTCGTAATTTGTACAAACAGTCAAGTTTTCCAGTAATTATGATCTTATTATAACTTGTCTACCCGATCTTCCCGTTTATTACACTTTGTAATTTTCTCACACGCTTAATATAAATACAAAAGTGTACAGCCACCTAGCTGATGACTTCGTCGAAAAGAAAATTTCCTTCGCTGTATTCTTGTATTATTACTAGACATTTAAAGCACATTTCCGCTACATGTATTAACAAAACTGGAATTCAGACAAGAAAAGAATGTGAAAATATGCACGTGAGTAGACAGTAATAACCTGTCACTATAGTGTAAAACAAAAAAATCTAGTATAACTGACAAGGTAAACAGATACAACGATACGATTGGTTGTTTATTTTTAGTAGTTTTTCTTCTGATTGGTCAATCCGGCGCATACCACGTTCTAGACAATAACTCTATAACCGAAAAACCGTTTTTTTTGTAAGTATTGTGGGACTGTCACCACCTATTTTGTCAGCATGCATTATTTCTAAGAGAAGGGAAAAACGTAGATGGATTACATCGATTTTATAACTGTTTTTTCCTTGTCTAAATTCCTCTTTTTGTGAACCAATTTACTAGATGGTTGGTGAAAAAAGAAACAAACGTGGAATGCCCGCCTGATAGCTATTCCCGTAGATCAAATTATAAATTCGACATTGGAATAAGTTATCAGTATATACAGCAGTTATATAATTATCCTGCACGAATATGACTGAGTATTAATATAGAACGTAAGTGTAGCACTTCAGTTTACCACACTATACGGCGTACAAAGATAGACAATATACAGAGAATAAGAGATTCGAAAGAGCAGAAATGTGATGGGGAGGGGGAGGGAGGACAGTAACAAAGAAGAAACATGAGGATTTCATGAATGTGGGAGACAACAAAGAGTGAATGCATATACACCATCAGTGAAATCGATTTAAAGTCATATCACCAAGAGTGAGTCTACCTCCAGCCGTTAGTTCTTAGCATCCAAATTTGTACAAATCCAAGGCAGCCTACACCTCCCTCTATGTGGCTGACTAAAACCAACTATCAAACATTCCGTGGATTGATAAGACTGGTTTTAGTTTGACTAACCTTGACTCTTTTCTAACCTGATCCTTTACCAGCTAACTTTGCTCAGCGAGGAAGGTAGTCACTCGGCAGATGCAACATGTGTTCTAGCCGATTCAATCGATGTAACTTCACTTACCCTCATTACCCAGCACTCGACGCCCAACCTCAAACTATCACTCACCATACTATACCATTTAACACGGGATACAGAACGCAAACATCTGTGGTCGAAGATAGTCAACCTTTTTCTTATCTTCCACTTACAATGACCATGTCTCACAACCATACAGGAGGATACAGAGAGCTGCTGAGTAGTACACATGTGGTTTGATCAACAGGTGGAGATCTACGCCATATCTACTCCAGAGATTGCATAATTATCTAATCATTGCAAAGATTATGAATTCTTTATTCCCTTTCACTTTAGGGATTGTGCAGTGAAATAGACGAACTAATCAGCAGTTTAAGAAAGTTAAGATGCAATTAGTAAAAACTTGTTCAGTTCCTTTACCATCGAACGGTCCTTGCTCGTTTACAAATCACGGACAAACATTTGATCATAGGGACTAAAAAGACAGTTGCAGCAAAGAAAATTTTTTTCGACGAAGTCATCATCTAGGCTGTACATTCGTGTATTTATATCAAATGGATGGGAAGGTTACAGAATAATTTCCGGTTAAGGGTCAAATTAATAAAAATTACAATTAGGAATTAGAATGCCATAATAAACAGGGGGACGGATAAAACTCAAACAAAGTAGCATAATAACCAAGAAGATTGACATTGTGCAATTGAGGGTTAGAAATGTGGAAATAACAAAATAGACGGAATGTTTGGATAAAAAACTAATGTGATGAATAATTGTTTATGCAATCAGGGATTAAATATGTAGAGATAGTAATAAAATGACAAAATAAACAGGAAGTGTGGATATGAAAATATGGTAGTGTAGACAGGGATTAAGAAAAACTTAAAATAACATGAACGAACAGGAAGTTTAGACCTTCATCTCTACAAGAGATACACTGGTGATACTTTCATCATTTGTGATGAGAATCTGGACCTCGAAAACTTACTTCAAACCTTTAACAACGCCCACCCAAACATCGACTTTACACTTGAGACTGAATCCGACGGAATGTTCCACTTCCTCGACGTCCATCTGACAAGAAACGCCAACAACTCTCTGAAAAGGTCCATATACAAAAAGCCTACATAGAATGGACAATTCATCAACTTTCAAAGCTTCGTGCCTCTAAGCAGAAAGAGGAACCTGAAATACGCTCTTTCCTCGAGGATTCGGAAGATATGCAGCGAGGAAGTGATTGAAGAAGAACTGCGTAATCCCCGAAAAACCCTGATGGAAAACGGTTTCTCGTCCAGGTTCATAAACAAGAATCTCAAATCTAAGAAGACTTCCGAAAAAGTCCAATCCGTTCCAAAGAAAATACTTCTGCTTAATCTAGAATTCAAAAATGATATTGAAGCAGAAATCCTTCGTAAACGCCTCTCCAAATCGCTGAGGAAAACATACTTCACCGCGAGCCTACGACTGACGTTTTCCTGCAAGAAACTGTTCAACCAGAACGCGAAAGACAAGCTGTTGCATTGGGCCACCTTAACGTGCATATACTTGAACTGCCGCACATTGTGCAAAGTTCTATGTCGAAAACCGACGGACCGAACGTGCATATACCAGTTTACTTGCTCTTGTGGAACTGAGTACATCGGCCGTACCATGCGCCGACTTGGAAAACGCACTCGCGAACACTACCCAGCCTGGCTAGTAAGAGGAGACCGAAAACATGTATACAGTTCAGTGACAGAACAACTGGTCAACCCAGGACATTCAGCACCTTTCGAAAAATCCTTCAAAGTAATATACAAGATTCAATCAAACCTATCAAAGGGAGTGAAATCAAGACATCTGGGCATAGCTGAGGCGTTAGCTATCCAAAAGCTCAAACCCACGCTTTGTATCCAAAAGAAATACGTCCAACCCGTGTCCCTGCCATGGCCATCATAAACAGGTAAAATTTTTTAGTAATGACAATCTCATCGCCTTTCTTATCTAAACTTCCTGTTTATTCATGTTATTTTATTACTATCTCTACATATTTAATCCCTGATTGCATAAACAATTATTCATCACATTAGTTTTTTATCCAAAAATTCTGTCTATTTTGTTATTTCTACATTTCTAACCCTCAATTGCACAATGTCAATCTTCTTGGTTATTATGCTACTTTGTTTGAGTTTTATCCGTCCCCCTGTTTATTATGGCATTCTAATTCCTAATTGTAATTTTTATTAATTTGACCCTTAACCGGAAATTATTCTGGAACCTTCCCATCCATTTGATATAAATACACGAATGTACAGCCTAGATGATGACTTCGTCGAAAAAAAATTTTCTTCGCTGCAACTGTCTTTTTAGTTCCTATGCAATTAGTACTACAGTTAAGATCAAGCATACTCTGTTGTCTAAAACAACTAAATATTAAAACGTATTAAATGTTGTTTATTGTCCATATATTACAAACTACATAAATTATAATTTATTAAAACACAGAGTTGGTGCATAATGAGAATCAAAAAATGAGCCAAACAAAATCTCATAGTTTGTTTGAGGGTTTGGATATTTCCTGTTCAAACGCCCAGATCTAAGTAGCTGGTTGTCTTAGGCGACTACGTAGGAGCTTTCAAATTGAAGTCGAATCCACGAGGCAGGGAAGCAGAGTCAGGAGCTACGTGTCCAAGGTTTCCAGCGACAAAACCAGGTTCGCACATTATTTAACCCATTACTATTCTGGAGCCCATGTACACCATAGGTCATAGTTTTCCAGCACCTTTAGCTAGGCAGACCTGCATGTCTACCAGTTAGTTGGATTACAAGAGGCAGACGTCTGTACTGACCTTTTTTTACTTTTTTGAGGAACACCCTTACCACGTGAAGGCAGTTAATGGGAGTTAACTGGATTGATTTATATCATGCAACAGTTCTCCAAAGATAGGATGCCTGTTAACCACGCAGGTAGTCCAGTTTACATTCCTGGCTGACGCACTACTCCACAAACCTCACCTAATCGATAGTAAGCCAAAAAGAGGCAACATGGGGCGTGGGGCTAGCAGGCCTACTCCGTAAGAACAATACTACTGCTACTTGAACTTCGAAGCAAGAGGCTCTTTGTTCCACCCGCCATGCAAAGCATAAAAAATTTCTTCAAGCTGATGTATAGCGTTACTGATGTGGCACAATGACCTCTTGGGTGTTTGCATATCCTACACATTCCCTTTCTCTTTCTATGAATAATAACTGCCAGCTGTCTTTGATCATAGGTAGGTGCCTGTGTCTTGTCTCCTGTGTTAAGTCATATTATAAAGTGAGCAATATTGAGGTTAGGCTTCCGTCAACTGCTAGGCAGGTGGGGAGGGGAAATCAACAGACCAGGTCGTGAAGCAACTCAATCGATTCAGATGGTTCAAACATGTGTCACGCATACCTGGCCATCGAATTCCTCGACGACGGGCGATTTTACCTGACTGACAAAAGAAGTGATCAGGTTGGAAAAGAGCTAGTGGTGATGGACAAAGCAAAACATCGTTCCATCAGTCAATGAAATCCACAACACTCAGTTTGAGTCAGCCAACTAGCCACGAGTTACGTATGCCTAGTCATCGCCTTCCTCGACAGGCAATGTTAGCTGATATAGGGCCAGGCTGGAAAAAAGCTAGCGGCGGTCAAACGAAAACATGGCACCGGTCAATGAAATCCACAACAGTTAGTCTAAGTCACGTAGGGAGATGTAGACTTCCTGGTTGAAGTCCTTGGGACGGTAAAAACCAATGGTTGGAAACAATTGGTGACATGGCTCAAAATCGTTCTCGGTGGCGCAGACGCATCCACTCCTTGTGACTTATGATTTCCGATGAAACTGTTTTGTTCTTCGTTATTACTACTCCTTTGTCTCACACCTGTGTTTACTGTCTATATTATGCATTTCTCCTACTTTCTTCTCTTCCTTTGTGTGCTACATGGAGTGTGGCGACTTGAACTGCTGCACATATGTGCAAAGTTCTATGTCGAAAACAGACAGACAGACAGAGAACTAGCCACGTAGGGAAGTGTTGACTTCCTGACTGTCTGGTTGGTTGGTTGTCTGTCAGGATGGTACGAACCAATGGCGACTGGTGACAATTGGTGATATGGCTAGCTCAAAATCGTCGTTCTCAGTGGCTGACGAATATGCATTCGCTCTTTGTGATTTGTCATAGCCAATGAAACGCTATTGTTCTTCCACATCACTCTTCTTTTTGCCTCACTCACACTTCTGTTTATAATCTGTGTGTGTGTGTGTGTGATCTTTTTGAATCTGTCTTTACTGTCTTTTGTTGCTTTGTGTGCTACATGGAGAGAGTGTGGCAACTTGAACTCCTGCATATGTGTGCAAAGTTCGCTGTTGAAACCAGTCAGTCAGTCATGAAAAATTATAAATGACAATTAATCAAAAGTAACATGAAAAATTAATTTTTGAATAAGCTTGAAACGAGTAACTTTGAATTTATTTTGTGCACATGTGGATTAAGCTGAATTGATGAACACTTACACTAACAAATCATATTTGGATATGTCTTTTACCTCACGGATGAAAGTAAATCAACAGCTACATAAATAGCTTAATGTTTTTTAAGGGTAGTATTGGAATGATGTAAATTTAGTTAGTACATGGTAACGCTACATTTGAAAACAAACTACTATCATAAAAGGCATATAGTATGACATAGAATACATTGATTATGAATGACTTACCTTGACTAGTTTCACTTTCACGTACTAAGAATACACCTTGTGAATTACCTTCAAGTAGTAACAACCTTTCCGAGTCTTTACGAGACAATTTAGGCATAAACCATCTGCAAACAGAAATTGAGATAGAAGTATTATTAACCCATTGGGACAATAATAATTCCGTGAAAGGCGTATCTCCAAGTTTATTCATTTTGAAACTCTTCAACATTGCAAACTACTACCAAGAGGAAGTAGAGGAACGGGTTGTGCGTAAACACACACACACACACACGACTGAAGAGCTTCAAGTAAGATGAAAATCGCCTGATGGACTTCACTGTTAGCTGCCACCAACTAAACAATATATATATATATATATATAACAAATTTAAATGACCTGGGTTGTGTTATGAATACTGAGTCGATAACTTTGTCAAAAAGTAATAGCAGATAAATTAGGATTAAGTTGGAAGAAGGCTAGGAGTACGGATGTATGAAGTACCCAACTTTCAGTTTCATTTATACATGGTATTTTCACTGGTTAGGATTTTTGAGGCAATAAAAATAAAAGACTGGACAACTTTAGAAGAAATTTACCAGAATGATGAATGCATTATTGTTTTTCGTTACACTTGCACATATATTTATCATTATTCTTGATTTAACGATTTTACCTCTTTCAGGTGAATTTGTTGATTCTAGTAGCATACTATTTACTCCTATACTTTCTCTTGGTTGGCTATTTCGAAACGTCAACTGATGCACATTTTTACTTAAGTTTCGACTTTTGTCACATGTCCACCATTTTCAATGGCTTTATTTTTCATTATTGAAGTAGATGAAACACTAACTGTGGTTATTAGTTAATTCCGTTTGAATACGGACTGCTATTTCCAGATAAATAACTCGAAGATGGCTACTTTTAGCTTATTATACATGTTTTTTTTATTTTAAAGAAAAAAGCTGTCTATACTGCATTTTTGGTTAAAAGTTTATTCAATCATGGATAAATATAAATGATTAGAAGAATGAATGTTATACGTTGGCATACATCGATTGGAGTAAATGTAATAGTGGTGATTCATCAAGACAGGGTATGGACACGAGTTATTACTACAGAAGCAAAACTCGATGGGTTCGGAGGATAAACCAGAGACCCGTTATTTAGCAAAGTAAAACGTTTACCGACAAAACAGACACACGTAGCCAATAATTCACGAACTTCGTATACCAACATGTATGATATTTTGTATAACGCTTTATGATACAACTTAGTCTATTAAGTCGAAGTAATGCAGAGCATTAATTTGCATCCGAAACTCATTGCAACAGTTCTCCTGAACACATATTCTCAATATTCACAAGAACAGTATTGTCATCAATGTAAGAGTGACAGTACGACTCCATATATCAGTTTAGAAGATGTAACGTGCTTATGAAGTATTACTAACGAGCTCCTGTCATCTAATATGAAGCGTAATCTCCTTTAAAGAAGTAAAACTTTAAAAATAATTCAAATGATTCACCCAATACAAACTTTCCACGTCAGAGGCTAAGGTCCGCACTTATTGTGCGAGAACTGATGGTAGTGTTCAGTCACCCAGATTGGATTAGGTAGGAAGGGAATGTGGTCAAGGAGCCAGTGAATCAAAGTCAAATCCCAAAGTCAATAAGCTACATCTTTCAATTAAAACTATGGATTACAACAATTGCATGCAGGCACATGCACTCGGCAATCTGTCTGTCTGTCTGGATTCAACATAGAACTTGGCACCGAAGTGCAGCAGTTCGAGTTGCCACCTTCCAAATAGCACACAAAGGTAGACAGGAAAATGAGTGGATAGAATCAATAGAGTTTTGACAAGTATAAGAGTGAAACAGAATGAGTAATGGTAGAAAGGAATATGAAAGATTACAGAGACTGAATACATTTGAGTAAGCCATTGACAACGATTTTGAGCCATGTCGCCTATTGTCTCTAGCCATTGATTCTTAGAGTCCCGAGGGCGGGCCCCAACTCGGAAGTCTGCATCTCCCTACCTGACTCAGTTTAACTGTCAAGGATTTTATGGGTTTTTGTTTGGCCACCACTTACTCTTTTCCAACCTGCACATATATCAGCTAGTAATGCCCGTCCGTCGGGGGAGGCGATGGTTAGGCATGAGCAGCACGTGACCTATCCATCTCAATCTATGTAACTTTATAGCCTCTTCGATTGATTTTCCCTCTTTGCCCAACACTCTACGCCTAACCTCAACATTACTTATCTTATTATACCACCTAACGTGAGAAAGAGATCGTAGACATCTATGATCGAAAACAGTCAACCTTTTCATGTCTTCAACTCGTACTGGCCATGTTTCAGAGCCATAGAGAAGGATGGAGTGAACTGCTGAGCAGTACACACGTCCCTTGGTTGATAGCCGGATGTCACGCCTACGCCAGAGATGGGGTAAGTTAGCGAAAGCAGCTCGAGCTTTTTGGATCCGTGCTGAGATTTCGTCACCAATCAGTCCGTTGGTGCTGAAACAACTTCCCAAATAGGTGGTTAACATGTTCTATCACTTCACTCCCTATCATTAAGCTAGGAGTTGACGTAGTCCAGTCCTGTAGCAGCATCTTCCATTTTACAGGGGCGAATCGCATGCCAAACATACGAAGATTGCTGCTCAAGGTGTTCAGAAGACTCTGCATTTTGTCAGCATCCTCCCCTAACAGGACTATGTCATCTGCATATTCTAAGTCCATAAGACTTGGCAATGAGTCTCATATACCTTGAGAATGCTTACGATACTAGCTAACTGCTGAAAACTAATTAGACAAAGACCAGTTCAAACATTTATATTCACCAGGTTAGACTCAAATTCATCAACTGATGAACTGTTGCAAAAAAACCCTAAGAGGAACAGATTAGATAAGCTAGTCAGAAATCGGGTGGTTCTCAATGATTCCACTCCCTGAGTCGAGTCAAACCGGGTACACCGCTGGTGATGAGCTCGGTCCCAAACGGGTGGAACTGCCGTTCGCTGCTTGCAGATCTATTTTATGCTTTTCTGTTAGCATCTTCTGCTTCTCCATTGGCGATATGTGGTATTGGTTAACAATATCAACAAGTTTAAACTTTAGCCATCCTCTTCTATCTTAGTCTGAGGGTTTCAGGTCGTAGAGTTGATGGTATGTGTTCGAATTGTGCTTCTGTGTCTATACGACTGATGTGCTTCTTGGAGAGGTGAAACTTGAATACTTGAGATAAGGCTTCTAATACAATTTCGCTTATTTGTAGTTTTAATAGATTGAAGACATAGCGTTCAGGTGCTTCGGTGAATCCTGGAAATGGATTTGATTAAAAATAAATTAGCAGTTAGCTGTTTATTTAATTACATTAAGCTACTGCTGGTTGCAGAACAACCTAGATAAATTTTAGGTAAATACAAGTCATCCTTTAATTGCAAATAAATACAACGGCTAATTTGTTATTGAATGCTCTTCGATGAGAACGACATTATTATCTTAGATATATAGCAGTTACCTATTTTTTAAAAATTCCCTTACGTTCCCAGTGGAAAATAGAGTTTCAAGATAAAAGCTTGAAGTTTGGGTAGCAGCGGTGTTTTTTTATGGGGTGGGGTAGCTAGTCTCATACCCAGTCTTCCCTCTTTACCAGTCTTATTACTGGCTTAGTGAGGTATAGGAGTGCGTCAGTCGAGAATCGAACCCCAAACCACCCCTGTTGTTGGCTGGTATACTACCACTGTGCCACCGACGCTTACGCATTACGCTATAAACTAAGGTGACTCCTAATACTGTCTTGATGCTTAAACTTTATTAGATAACTGTATATAAAATTGACTGAATGGATAAGTCGGTGAGTTACATCCCACTGTTATTTATTTGATAACTACAACCTTACTTGTGACAGTTTATGTAAGAATCTAATTATGTAAGCATAGAAATAAAAGCATAGAAGTAGAAATAAAAACGAAGACGTGCACTTGAGGTCATTTCCCTTGGAATTCCGAACATTTCTTTGTCGTACACTTACACATTCTATTACATTCATCAAGTTTTCCTTTAAATTATTTGACCACATATCCACAAGTATAAATTAAAATGTCGGTAAGTGCATTTATTTAAAGCTGATAAAAATAATCTGGGAAATTAATTTAGTTTTACGTTAATAATGCGTAGAACCAACATGATTAAGTTATCACAAAGCTGAAATCAATAAACTACTGCAGTAATAAACGCACTTATACCTGATTTAGTGATACAGAATGGTGTAGACTTTAATAAAGTAGTGGGTATGAACTGATTATGGCATTACTTGTTCAAAATATAACGTCGGTGCCACAGCGGTAGAATGTTAGCCGACCACGCATGTGGTCCGGGGGGTTCGATCTCCGGCCAAAGATGCACTCCTTTACGTCACTAAGCCAGTAATAAGACTGATAAATAGTGAAAACTGGGCATGAGACTAGCTACACCATCCAGGAAAAATAAAGACTACTACCGAAAGTTCAAGCTTCTAGCTTGAAGCCCTATGTTCCACTGGGAACGTAAGAGTTAGAAAAACAAAAAAAAGGAGACTTACTCTTCAGCTTCAACTGATCCTTTTAGAGCAACGAATGAACTTGGGACGTATCCTTTTCTACCTGAACTTAAGTTCTGTATCAGCCACCAGTCCGCATCCCTGAAAAGAACACAGAGAAGAGATTATTACGTGTGGGCATAGGTGAATATCACTAGAGAGCAAAGTTATACAGACTTAAAAGCGCATTAAATAAACAAATCAGAATGGTCATGTTGATCGACTCTACTTGTTAGTTTTCTCTCCATCAACTATGAAGAATAAACTGTGGCCTCATGATAGGTTGGTTGACACCAAGTTGTACGATCCGGACTGATACGTCTACACTAAGTATTATAATCTACTAAAAACAGTCTGTTTCAAAGCTCTAGATTATTCACCTTTTTTGATGCAATCATATGTATTTTATTCTAGAGATATTATATGATACTTTTACAGGATTTCTACGAGACTTTACAGAAGAAACTATGCAGTTGTTTCAACTTTCACTCAGTACGTTCTGTTAACTATCTTACGTTCCGAGCTATTCAGTAATGGTTCGAAATCATTAGTTAGAAGTGGTTTATTAGGAATTCTTAGGATGATAATAAATTCGATTTGTTAGCAGAGATCTGGATAAGTATGAACTTACTCATCAGCCAGTATTAAGACATCATCCCTCCTACACAGAGACGTTTCTTCTTCAGTTCTAGCATTGTAATCGAAAAGAGCTACAAAACGTCGAGAGTCAGTCGGCTTTGTGTATTTTTTCATAACCTTGCATTCATTTGAGGTTTTCATTTCGGATGGATGTGAGACACCTATTTCCATGTTCGCTGGAACTCGGGTGGAATGAATCGAATGGGGGCTGTGGTCCACACGGTTATCCAGAAGCATCTGATTCTTCTGTAGCACATTAGATACCTCAGACCTGCTAGTCTGAGAACGAGGGGATAAGAACGGGGTATAGGCAAATGTCCTGTCCATTGGCTGAGATATCTTGAGGTCAACACTGTTAGTAATTCCGTGTCCCAGAGAGAGTGATTTATCTTTTATGGATGTAGATATGACAAGTCTTTTGAAGCAATTTCCCATAGCTTGTACCATTTAGACCCATCCCAACGGCTTAGATAATTCCCGAAAAGAAACCTCAGAATACCAAAGTGCCGCCAAAAACAAAACTCAATGTCCAATATATCCATGACTTTTTCTTATATGCCTATCGACTTCTTAGGGTTAGCTTGCCCATTTTTAAGCTATTGCAAGCTTATTTGGTGGATATTGGTGAAATTGATTTGCCACCGCATTGAGGGTCAGTGGAAGCTATTCTAGCAACAACGCTTGCCATTTGCAATCCGATATCCAATTTGGTGGCCTTATTTGTCATTATTAGAGCACAGCCTTTATCATTTGACACATTGAGGTTAACCGTTTAAGTTGACTGGTTAGGGTGAAAGTACGCTGTCACGAGTCCTATTGCGTTCAGTTGTTCATTCATGATCTTTAGTTGGTTAGGCAGATATCGCTGTTCCACGTTTCTGTCCCAGAGATATATTTCCTACTTTCTCTTGAATTTCCACTTTTTATCTGGTACTGAATAACAATTGCAGAGAGATTGCGGGATACATATTCATATTATCATATCATCGTCGTCTTCAGTGAGTTTGTAAGCCAATTAGGGCGGCAGACAATTCTTTAAAATTACTAGACTACAGCACTGTTTATTGAACACTAGAAGCTTACCCACCCTATTAAGCCAACTTCTCCAGTTATCGGTTCAAGGTCAGGCATGTAGGCTATTTGGCACGCTGTTACATTCTGTCGTTCTTGCGCACTTAGTAGCTAGCTCTGTAGTCATCATTTCATTACGATTCTAATCAGGTAGTATATCTCATGTTACGGGCGACGAATTGGTTGTTTTTATTCGTTTTGGTCAAAATGCTACAGAAACTATTGAAGGTGGGGGATAGGAACTTGAGTTTATAAGTGGCTTATCTAATGTAAACTTCAGAATCACTTCATTTCCCAGAATCCTCATTAACACAGAACTGTAGCGGTAAATAATTCCTGTGCGTCGGTGGCACAGTGGTTAGGACTCTCGCCGACCATGCACATGGTCCGGGGTTCGATCCCCTGCCGGCGCACACCCGATGTCTATGGTCGGCCTGAATTTTGGCTACCGATATCCATGCTGAAAATTCCATACTTGTACTGAAAAGTACGGTGTGGAATCAAGCTGTAAATCAAAATAAAAAAAATAAAAATAAATAAATAAAATTATTGACCACAGCAATCATCACTCAACATTGGATGCTGACCCTCACTGTTTAAGTCGACTTGTTTAGCTGAAGGCTTCCGGTCGAGCATCCATGCCATTTGGTACTCCGTCGTGTTACGTGCGTGCAGGATTACTAGCTAGATAGGCGTTCACTTCTACCCGCGATTTGGTCCCGAAATATACTACGTACTTTGGACGACAAAATCTGGTCTTTTGCTTTATCGTTCGTACTCGAAGAGCGAACACTATAGAAGTTGTTGGTATAAGATCTTGCGTTAGTATAATCCGTACAGTTTGCGAACGTCAATACCTTCAACCACTAAACTGGTGAGCCCAACCACGAACTTCATCTTCAGTTCGCACGCAGATAAACCCAGTGAGTTCGTTCCTTTTTGTGTTTGTTCTTGTACTCCTTTGTAATCGGCATACTTTTCGTCATGATTGATCCTAGCCCCAAGGTTATTCGCATACGCTAAACCACCAAAACAATTCAGCTCGTACCACTTTGGCCAGATAATGCTGAAACGTGGTTTCAGATAGCCGAGTCTGATTTTTGTGAGCATGGCATAACTGATCAACATTCACAGTTCCTTGCAGTTATTCACGTCCTACCGCGGGAATTCAGCGGGTGCGTAACTCTGCAGATGTCGGGTCCAGAGGTAAGTAACTCGTACGAGTTGCTCAAAGCATCCCTCCTCAAGAGAAGCGTTCTCACGGATCGACAACGTCTGGATGAATTATTTCGTAACATCGAGTTAGGGGATCAGTCAGCCGTGAGCATGCTGGCAAGAATGAAAGAGATTATTGGCCAAAGTCAGTTCATCGAGGGACTGTTCAGAGAACTCTTCTTATCCGAACTGCCACGGTCAGTACAGACTTTGCTGGTCACACTACAGGGTGTTATCATAGGTGACTTAGCTGTTTCTGCAGATAAAATTCTGGAAATAAATAAAGGGTCAGTTCCCGAAATATGCTCGGTGGCCAAACAGACTTCGAGTAAGGACACTGCAGTGGTAGAGTTATGCAACTCCATCCAGCAGATGCTTATGTCAAACAAGCCTAGCAGTTCCTCCTATCGTCGTTCTAAATCCCCTCAACGGCAAAACGCACGTGGACGATCTAAGTCCAACACACGTTCTCTCAAAAATCCTGACTGGTGCTGGTATCACAACACCTATGGCCAGGAAGCGAAATGTTGTCGAAAACCTTGTGATTTCGGCAAAGCCTCCAAGTCTGTAGGAAACTATCCCGCTGGCACGCGTTAGTGGCAGCCGTCGCCGGTGGCACTAGCCGCCTACTTTACATCCATGATGTGATCAGCCAGACTCGATATTTAGTCGACACAGGCGCTGAAGTTAGCATCCTTCTTGCCACAGCAGCAGATCGACAGAAGGAACCTACCTTCAACTTACAGGCTCCAAATGGAAAACCAATTGCAACCTATGGTAGGAAATACGTCTATCTGAACGTAGGTTTACGCAAACCTATTCAGTGGATTTTCCTTATTGTTGACGTCACAATGCCCATCATCGGCACGGACTTACTCAATAATCATGATTTGCTCTTAGACGTCCGCCGTAAACGACTAATTGATAACACTACCAGTCTGTCTATAAAAGGCATCACCTACATAGGCCCCGGCTTGTCAATCGTTAAGGTGAAAGCAATCCTCGATCCAACTTTTCAACCGATTGTTGACAAATATCCGGAACTCAGTTGCCCATCTAACGATCTCCCGTGCATAACCAGAAATGTTATGCACCATATCATAACCTCAGGACAGCCCATGACATCTAAAGCACGATGACTGGCCCCTGACAAACTGAAAATTGCTAGAAATGAATTCAATCATATGCTCACCCTTGGCATCATTCGGCCATCGAATAGCCCATGGGCATCCCCATTGCATACGATACGGAAAAAGGATAGTAACGATTGGCGACCCACTGGTGATTACCGGTGAGTGAACGCCAAAAATCATCTGATTGCTATCAATCGCCTCACATACATGACTTGATGGCAGCATTATCTGGTGCAACTATATTCTCAAAAATCGACTTGGTTAAAGCGTATAACCAAATCCCGGTAGCACCAGAAGATATTCCGAAAAAGGCTATCATGACGCTTTCAAACTTTTCGAATTTCTGCGTATGCCATTTGGTCTCCGGAATGCAGCACAAACATTCCAACGCTTCGTCGATGAAGTATTTCGCAGTCTCGAATTTGTATACGCATACTTAGACGACTGCCTCATTGCCAGTCCAGACAAGGAAACTCACCTTAGACACTTGGACTTGGCATTTGAACGGTTACGTCTACATGGCGTTACTATCAATATCCTAAAGTGTCAGGTAGGCGTTGACTCACTCGACTTTCTGGGTCACACTATTGATTGCAAGGGCATTCGCCCACTGGCTACTAAAGTCGAGGCGATACGGAACTTTCCGGAGCCACAAACAGTAAAAAGTCTTCGCACTTTTAACGGCTTAGTAAGTTATTACCGACGGTTTATACCCAACTGCGCCTCTCTGATTCAGCCATTGACAGACCTCCTTCGAGGGTATAACAAGTCTATCGAACTTGACGCGCCTGCTCGAAATGCTTTTACTCAGGTAAAAAAAGCTGTTGCGGATGCCACACTTCTTATGTATCAGGATCCAACGGCACCGTTAATTATCTCGGTTGATGCATCAGACACTGCAATCGGCGCAGTTCTGCAACAGCTAGTCAACAGAGAGTGGCAACCACTCGCCTTTTTCTCGAGGCGCCTTCAATTAGCTGAAACGAAGTACAGCACATTCGGAAGCGAACTTCCGGCTATGTGCTGTGCTATACGTCATTTTCGACATTCAGTGGAGGGTCGTGAATTCATAATTTTCACTGACCACAGAACTCTGATGTTCTCTCTGAATTCAACTTCAGATAAGTATTCACCAAGGGAATCACGACAACTGGACTACGTTTCACAGTTTACGTCGGATATTCACCGTGTATCCAGACTGAACAACACTGTGGCAGATGCCTTGTCGCGCCTTTGTTCCCTCAGCGAAATCGGCGGCGTAGGCCTCGGAAAACTGACTCGTCTTCAAAAAGAAGATACTGAGCTACAAAAAGAGTTGTCGAAAACAACTCCAGAAGAGATACTATTCTTTGTGACGTTTCCACTAGTACTCCTCGCCCTATCGTGCCTAAAAGTCATCGCCGTAACGCTTTCAATACTTTGCATGGCTTATCCCACCCAGTTATTCGAACTATTGTCAAGCTCGTAAGTAGTCGGTTTTGTTGGCCTGGTATTATTAAGGAAGAAACGGAGTGGGCACATCAGCCCCTAAAACAGTCTTCACATATTTAATTTGTTCTGCCTCATCTGCAGTCGCAATGAGTAAGTCGTCAGTGTATTCATAAAGGAAAGGGAGACCACCGAGTACATAGTCAATAAATCGCTGGAATGTCTGGACTGCGTTCATCAGCCCAATGGGCATACCAACGAATTCGCATAAGCCGAATGGTGTGTTGATAGACTTTTTCGGAACGTCGTGTGGATGAATGGGAATGTAATGATAGCCTCTTACAAGATCAGTCTTGAAAGAAACTTCAACATCCGGCGAAATGCAAGCAAAATCGTGTATATTTGGTAGTAGGTACCTGTTGAGTACCGTTCGCTTGTTCAAAGCCGGGTAATCGCCACATGGCCCTATTTCAACGGAAGACTTTCAAGAGACCAAATGAAGTGGTGAAGACCATGAGCTGCTAGATGATCAGATGATTCCAAGCTTGAGCATTTTGTCAAATTCAGTATTTGCGATACATAGTCGTTGTGGATTGAGGAGTCGAGGCTGTGAGAAAACTGATGGTCCAGTCGTTTTTAATATGGTGAACCAAATGGTGCTTCAGTTTGGTTTCTCCAA